AGGGCTCAAAGTAGAAAGAAAATGTTTTGGAAATGTTGATGGCAACATAAGTATAAGTGTGCTTAATACAATTGAATGATGGATTCGTAAGAGCCCCCCAATTAAATGATTAATTTAGAAAACAATAAGAGTTAAGATTATTTAAAATCTTGGTTAGTAATGAGTTTTTTTATCCTTGAAATAGTCTTTATAAAGTTGAAACTTCTATTTTCAAAAGAGGAAACATTTTAATCTCCAACTATAGAAATTTAGAAGACTCACACCTTATTCAGAGTAAAATAGTTTACAATAACATTTGTCGTTTTGTAACATTTTAGCTTAATGTTGCTAATACCTATTAGTTATTTTCTACTTTTCTGATAGATACAGTGTCTTCACCCCAAAAGTCAGGTGATAACTAACAGAACATCTTATGTTTAAGTATATCAATTATTTTACAATTAAAACTGTTCTTTTGCCTTTTTAAAAATGTTGGATATTTTAGCTAGGTCTGAAGAATCGTCGTTATGACTAGTGGAAACAACAAATCCTATTTATTTGACACTGTGACAGGCATGATGTGTGTCCTCTGTGTGACCTTATAGCTGTTCTAACTCTATATGTTCTACCTATTGTAAAGATAGAGACTCTGGGCTTAACCCTTTAGTTGATGAGACATGAAAATTACAAAGTTAATAGGTTTCTTTTATACAATTTTAGTCTTAGGTTCTTAAGCATTACACTAAGTTGTCCTACAATGAATCAAGGTTTTGCTTATTAAAATAATTCTCAATCGAATATTCCTAAAGTTAATGACTTTGTTGTTGCTTCCTGTTTAAAATGCAAGAGGGTTTGGTAGAGAAAAGGTTTGTTTCCCCCGTTTAGACTAATTTTCAGTTGGTGAACATTTGCAATGCATGTTAATGTCTTATTTAGAATCTTAATCATTTTAGAGTTGTCAGAGTTGTTTTGCAGCTGAGATAACAAGCTGTAATAAAGGACTATTGGATATTTAAAGTAAATATACTTTGGACCAAGACCTTCAAGCCTTCTTGTTTGTTTGTTTATGCAGGAGACCCCTGTTTTCACAGAACTAAGCAGGGAAAATGATGAAGAAAAAGGTAGGTTTGCTTACTTCTTTTTTTACTGTGGATGTGTTTGCATTGCATAAACTAGCAGCATGTATGAGAACATGATATTTAATATGTTTGAGTCATTTTTCTATAAAATGAAAAGATAATGAATTGAATGGGATGATGTAGCTACAAGTAAGAAAACTAACAAATTAACTAAAACAACAAGGAAATGTATTATCTAGTAATCATAAGACTCCCGGCGTGGTTCTGGATGCCATATAATCAGTAGCTGGAAGCAAGATGACTGTCAAGATAGCCAGCCATCAGTCGTGGAATCCCCCAACAAACAAGGACATTTGTCCTGGGGGGCACTCTCTGTCATCAGACTTCATTTGGAATGTTATTGGTCAGAACAATGTCGTGTTTCCCTAAAAAGTCACTGGAAAGGGAAATGGAATCATTTTGATTGGTTTATACAATCGGAGATGCCCCCTGAGGTGAAGATGATGTGAACTCCCCTGAGCCATGTGTGAAAGACAAGGACACATAACCCCCCAAAACAAAAGTACTATCAACAAAGAACAGACAAGGCACAGAGCAGGGAAGCTTCCAGCCCTCTCTGCTGTAGCATCAGTCTAGTCAGTTCTGCAGGATTTTATAAATCTGAATAGGACTGTGTTAGTCTGGATGGATTAGAGAAACAAATTCATAGACAAACTCGTGTGTATAAGAAAGAGGTATATATACAAGAGCAGTTGAGTATTGAGAAAACATCCCAGCCCAGTCCAGATCAAGTCCATAAATCCAATATTAGCCCATATGTCTGATACCAGACTCATGAAACACATGCAATGACACTGAATGCAGGAAAATCACAGGCTAGTGGGTGCAAAGTCAGTGGTGGTAGAAGCATCTCAGTGCTGGCAGGGGTCTCCATGTGGCTCCTCCAGTTCCCCGGCTGCATCAGAGTAGGTCCATTTGGCTTCTGAGGGATGTCTTGCAGGAACCCAGCCTTGTCAGTAGAGAGTCTACAAGAGTGAGCCAAGAGAGTCTCCTGCCTCCAGGGAGGAAAAACCAGATTTCCCAGAATTCTCAGGGGAAGGCCCTGCCCACACAGAGGCCTCATGGGCTATATCCTGATTGGACAGTCTAGACTCCACTCCTACACTCTTAATTCTCAAATTGACACCAGATTATGCAACCACGAGGACTATTTTAACTCATTCAAAATGCTTATAAATTTCTAAGTAAATACATTGCATGGTACCTTGCTGGAAAGCCTTACTGTCATTTCCTTGAGATGTGTATGGAATAGTTTTGTTTTGTTTTTACTTTCAGTTACATTTAATTTGAACAAAGGAGCATGTAGTTCAGGAGGAGCAACATCATCCAAACCCAGGTATGCTAGACAAACAATTACCTCAACCCTTAAGAATGTTCATGAAATGTTGGTTGCAACATTGTGAAGCATTTGTTTTCTGATTGTGGATTTCTTCTCTTAGGGCTTCTGTTTGTTGTGATTGTTTTTGGTATGACTGTTCTTATTTGCCTCTGATGAGAATGGATAGTTGTGTCTTTTTGATGAACTGTTTCTTCTGGAGAGAATGGTGGCTCTCCGGGAATCCCTCTCCAAGTAATGGTTCAGCAGTATTTGGTGACAGCAGTATTTGCTCTTCTAGTGTCGCCTGCTTCTCACAGTCTCCAGCACAGTGGGAAACCTTTTTCTGCCAAGGGCCATTTGAATTTTTATAACATCCTTTGAGGGTCATACTAGTCAAAACATTTAACCTGACCGTGTTGGCGGGAACTGCTTCTCCGGTGAGGCGTGTGATGTTAACCAGTATTGATGTTTCACAGACCTTATATGGCCTCTGGGCCAGGCTGGCCATTCCCTCTATCATTGGTCTACATTTTAACTTAGATGCATAGTTAACTTTTTTGTTTAACTTCCTATATTGTGATTTTTCTAAGACTTTCAGTAGAAATCGCCTTCCCTTTTAAGGTGGATGAACAGAAATTGGCAAACTCTTTCTTTTAAGACCAGATGGTAAATATTTTAGGCTTAGTTGACCATATGTCTTTATTGCAGCCACTTAACCTAGCTGTTGCACAAGAAAGCAGCTATAGACATTGTGCAAATCCTTGGTTCTCAACCTGTGGGTCGCGACCCCTTTGGGGTCGAACGACCCTTTCACAGGGGTCGCCCACTTCATAACAGTAGCAAAATTACAGTTATGAAGTAGCAATGAAAATAATTTTATGGTTGGGGGGGGTCATCACAACCTGAGGAACTGTATTAAGGGGTCGTCACCTTAAGAAAGTTGAGGACCACTGATGTAAATGAATGAGTCTGGCTGTGCTCCAGTAAAACTTTATTTCCAAAATCAGGTAGCAGGATCGATTTTGTCCACAAAGTGTAGTTTGCCAAACCATGGTATAATGTGTAGTCAAATAGTTCTCTCTACTTTTTGTGGGTTTTGTTTTTTTTTTATGCTACTCTTGCCCCATCTCCAAATATTTTGACCATTTGTGATATGTAGTATATTCAGTTATGTTATGGAGATTAAACAGTGAATAAGACAAGATGCTGATACCTCAAGAAGGTACCTTTATCTAATGGACTTCAGTTTTAGATTATGTGATTTTTCTGTTTTACTTAGTATTTTACAGGTTTATGCTCTTTGGTGAGGGTAGAGGCTAGTATTTATTTGCGAGGTCAACACTGTGCAACTTGACAAATATAATGTTGTTTAAAAGACTATTTAAAAATTAACACTTATGTTAGATACCAAGAAATTGATTAGTTGGATTCTACATGTGGTGTATTTGGAAAGAATTTTTTTATTATTGGTGTGCTATGAGCTGGAAAATGGCTCAAGTATATTATAAGACAGATGCACATACTTCAAAGTTTTAGGCCATTAACATATTTCTCTATATTTTCCTCTGTTATTCTTAGATATACTCCAAAATAACCATTGCTGTAGAGTTGATTTCCACTCGTAGCACCTCGACAGGACTCATTAGAACTGTCCTATAGATCAGGTATCAGGCATCAAAGAACAAAAAATCATATCATTGTGGATGAGGGGGAGTGTGGAGGGGAGACCCAAAGCCCATCAGTAGGCAACTGGGCATCTCCTTACAGAATGGTCGTGGGGAGGAGACGAGCCAGTCAGGGTGCAGAATAGCAATGAGGCAACATACAACTTTCCTCTGGTTCTTTAATGCTCCCCCCCCCACTATCATGATCCCAATTCTACCTTATAAATCTGGCTAGACCAGAGGGTATGCACTGGTACAGATCAGAGTTGGAAACACAGGGAATCCAGGACAGATAAACCTCTCAGGACCAATCATGAGAGTAGAGGTACCAGGAGGGTGGGGGAGAAAAGGGGAACCCATCACAATGATCTACATCTAACCCCCTCCCTGGTGGATGGACAACAGAAAAGTGGAGGAAGGGAGACATCGGGTAGTGTAAGACGTGGGGAAAAAAATGATAAATTATCAAGGGATCCAGAAGGAGGGCGTGGGAATAAATGAGCAGATACCCAGGGCACAAGTGGAAAGAAAATGTTTTGAGAAGGACGATGGCAACAAATGTACAAATGTGCTTGACACAATGGTTGTATAGATTGTGATAAGAGTTGTATGAGCCCCCAATAAAATGATTTTAAAAAAAACAAAAAACTGTCCTGTAGAAATGGTTTCCAAGCACATAAATCTTTGCCAGCAGAGTGCCATTTTTCCGCCCTGAGTAGTAGCTGGTGGGTTGGCACCACTGACCTTTCCGTTAGTTGTGTTTGTGAGATAACCTCATGTCTGCCCTAGTGACCGGTGGCCCTCAGTCATTAACCTTGCAGTTGGCAGTCCAGTGCCTAACCTGCAGCACCAGTGGACCAGCTTACCAATCTCCTCCAGTGGTTCTCAGAGTGGCCAGTACTGCCGCCTGGGAGACGCTGGAACAGTCTGCAAAAGCAGATATCTACATTTTACCTTGAATTATGAACTAAAACACAAAAGGTTTAATTACAGGGCTGGGAGGAAGGGTGTTTGTCTAATTTTTTATTTTTATTTTTCAGAAAATGGGGCGGTAGGTCAAATAAGTTTAGGACCCTGTGATCTATACCTAAGCATAAGGAGCCCTCTACTAATCTGAGCTTGTTTTTCTTTTAATCTTCTTGTTAGCTGTATGCAAGTATGCATCCCTTTATTCATATTTGGTAGATAAGACAAATGTTAGGCAGGTCAGATTCATTTAGTCAGCAAATAGTAGTTGAGCCTCTAAAGAGAGTTACTGGTCCTTAAAAGAGGGGAAAAGCATGGTTCCTGCCCTACTCTGAGAGAGGACTTACATACAATGATTATGAAGCATTTATCTGCGAGTCGTTTCTAATAAGCATGCGTCTTCTTTTCATCAGTTCCCTGGGGCCAAGTGCCCTGAAGGCCATGGGGAGTACAGCCGCCGTGAAACGGAAGGACCCTTCCCATAGCTCAGCTCAATCAAAAGAAAAGAAGAAAAAGAAATCTGCCCTTGATGAAATCATGGAGGTACAGTTTAAGAATGAGCTCAGTGGAGGAATGATAGAATTCATACCATAGGAAAATTACATCGTTCTGCAATTATTGGATGAGTATTAAATTAGAAAAATTGACCTGTTCGTTTCGGAAAGGGTCCCCTAGCTGCGCTTCTCTCTGAACAGCGTGGGTTCCCCACTCTAAAGGTTTATTTTCTTGCTTAAAGTGCTGTCATTGAAAACTCTCTGTGCATATGGTCAGCAGCATTCAATTACGAGGACTTTATTGGTAAGTGAAGCTAAAAATGAAGTCTGTCTTCTCCTGTCGGGGGCTCGTGATCCTCCCTCGGGCTGTCAAAAGGGGACCGGTGAGCGGGGTATAGTGAGCACAGAGGGGAGAGTGGTCGTTTTTTTGAGGTTAGAGAGAGGCGCCAGGGGGCATTAGGGAAGCTCTGTGTGCCGTGGCAGGGATCTCTTCAGTTTCATTCCAGTGCAAGGGCAAGCCAGCTCCATGTACTGTAAATGTTATACAGGGCTACATTTGAACTGCTCTTTGTTCCCATTTTCTCCCAACCTCCCCTGCCCAAACCCTAAGAAACTTTTTTTTTAAAAATCATTTTATTGGGGCCTCTTACAGCTCTTATCACAATCCACCCATCCATTCATTGTGTCAAGCACATTTGTACATACGTTGCCATCAACATTTTCAAAACATTTTCTTTCTACTTGAGCCCTTGAAATGATTTTTTTAACGCTTGAAAAAATGCGGTTTTGGAGGGTGGGGGACGGAGGGGAGAAATGAGGAGCTGATAGCAAGGGCTGCATGGCCACTGTGGCAGCCTGAACCATTTTCGTGGTGTTCCTCAGATCTCAGAAAGTAAGGAAAGACCCTAAACCAGTAAATATTACACCAATCCATTTAGAAATGACATCTGTTGGCTCTTTAGTATAAGACAGGAAAGAGGGCCCTTTCCTGAGTACACAGATTAAAGTATTATTATGGTCTAGAGATAGCCGAGTTGATACTGTGTCTCGTCTCTATAATGAAGACGAGGTACAAATTTAGGCCACTGTCCACTTAAACTTCCACAACTTGTCTCAGTCCTTCCAGTAACAGAACAAATTCCTTTCTAGGCTGACAATTAGTCTTGGCCACGAGTTTCACCACCAAGGTAAACTATTAAATTGAACCACATTTAATAACAGGCACTCCATCTCTATGGGACATAACAATAGCATGGAGTCCTTCAACCCTTGGCAACTTTTTATTCAGGTGTCTCTCCTGGTCATCTGCCATGAGGACCCTTCTCCCAGAGTATCCATCTCCATGCCTGGGTTTTAACTCCGGGTGATGCCCGGGTTCTCTCTGCTGCCACTTCAGGAGCACCCTTAGACACAGATTCTTTTGCAAGCAGCCATCTCATGACTTGTCATCTCTTCTAAGAAACTATTAATCTATTTACTGTCTCTATAAATTTACCTATCCTGCATTTCATATAAAGAAAATCAGACCCCAAACCAACAAACAAACAAACCCACTGATAAGAGCAAAACACGGAAAGACCTCCATCCACAGAAAGCAGAAAATAATCAGTACTAAAAAAGAATTAAAAATGTGCCAAAAGAGAAAACAAATGATGTTAA